TCCATGGTAATTCTATTTTCTGTATCAATAATGCACTGTTTATTACTACCAGCAACTTGAAAAAAGTATTAGACATCCTTGTCCGCTGTTTAAAAAGTCTACTAATTGTGCACAAAGTTATCTTGCAGTAACCAACCTTCTTAAAAATAAAACAACCCATATTTGCCAAAATTCTTCGTTAATGAGCAAACAGAGTATTAATAGATCCTCCCTCTATGAATTGTGCCATCAAAATTATCCTCAGGATAAGGGATGTACCGGAATTCCATTTTGAATTTATGACATTTAGGTCATTTCAGTTCCGGCTGGAATTATAATAATTCAGGCCGAAATGCCGGAATTTATTTTTTACTTTATTCTTTTAAGACATGTGACACAGACTGTGTAAAGTTTACCGCTATAAAATAATTATACTTTTTCGCTTGTTGTGCTCTCGTTAGAGGAGAATTTTTAAACATTAGAAATTTTAATTAAAATAACAGAAGAAAAAAAGTTTGACGCCATGTCGAATCGCCTAAGTTTGACGCCTATGTCGAATCCTCAGTTAATGTAGCAGCCCTTCCTTGTAGAAGCTGGCTATAAAATAGTCGATGTAGCAACACTCCCTTGTAGCAGCTGGCTATAAGATAGTCGATGTATGTACAAAAGCCACTAAATATTCTTTGTTTCTATTAAAAAGCCACTACTTTAAGCAAGTCACCATGCGAAAGCGCAACAAACGATATTTTAGACCGCATATCTAAAGCTCACGGTCGTTTACAAGCGCTATGTTTAGGTACGCATGCGTGAGAAAATGCATAAAAATTTTGAACTTTTAAAATGGCTACGGTTCTTAACTACAGAGTATATTTTATATGGCAACCGTGTTATTTGTTATTTGATCTCTAAAAACTCAATGTTGTAGCCTTATTTTTATGTAGATCAGTATATTATTACAAAATTTTCACAAAAATATATATATATATATATAGGATAAAAAATATCTTTGAGTACTTAAACTTTATTTTCAATCAACAACTTTTTAGTGTAACTCATAAATTTGTTTATTTATTTGAAATCAATTTTCTTAAAATCTGACTGTAGGATTTTAATAATTTTTTTTTTAAACTTTAGATAAATATGTTCTATATTTATGATATTTTTCTGGTGATTGCTTCAACTTTTTTTCAATATATAAATTTGTTATGACTATTTACTAATATATATATATATATATATATATATATATATATATATATATATATATATATATATATATATATATATATATATACACACACATATTTATATATATATATTTTTTTGACCTTTTTAGCCCCCTTCTTGGTGAGTGACATAACCCGCCCCTGATTTTACAATACGTGTTAAATGAATGAGAATTCTTATTATTTAGTGAAGCATTACCAGAGTGAAACCCTTTTATGAGAATTTAATAAATAATAACTCATTTTTTTAAATGTCATTTAATTTTTCAATACAAATTGTTGGTTTTGCAATTGAAATTTTTCTAATTTAAATTGCAAAACCAGCAATTCGTATTGATTAATTTTAATTGCAAAATGTTCACATTCAATTTTATTGCTGTCTTACAATTATTGATTCTCGATGAATTATGTCTTATTAGTTATTCTATATTAAAATATACTATACTATATAAATGCTAGCCAATAATTATTCCTCCATTATTTAACTTGTCCCTATTGTCATCTTGTAACCATTGTTCACTTGTATCTAACTAATCACTTGAATCAGTTATCAATTTCACAGTTATCGACCAATCATTTTCAGTTGGAACAGAGCAAGAACTATGGACGGGGGAAGGTAAATCATACCAACTATACTTTTTTGTTGAACTTATCTTTTTCAATAAGTCTTTGTTTGATAACAAAAACTTATTGAACTTATAAGTTTGAAAATTGGTCATGGCTCAATGATTTATTAACATTAAAAAGGGGCTTTTTTGTTTACAATTAAGTTTTCAACTTGAACTTGAAAAAAGTTTTCCAAATAGGAATACTGTCAAGTTTCATCCAACTTAAAGCTTTTAACTCTTGTTATTGAGACAAATAACAGGTCAATGGTTACATAATTTTAGCTTAATTATGATTGTAAGACGAATTAGATAAATAAAATTAATGTAAGGTAATTTGTTTATCTTTGGGAGAAACATAAATAAATGATCCAGCTGGGCAAATTTTGAATTTGGCTTCACACTTATTCCTCTCTTTCTTAAACTAGAAAACATTTTTTTAGACAAAGTTATTGAGTGCAGCGATTCTTTTACTTTAAAACTTTAAATTAAAGGTACTCTTGTGTAGCAGCAACCAAAATACTTTAATACCTTAACGTAATTTATCGGTCACGACTTTCGTTTTCGCAAGTTTAAATGCGCGCGCATTTTTCAATATTGTGTAATTAAGAGAAGAAAACACGTGCTGTGTTAGCATTTTCAATAAATTGTTAGTGACTAAAAACATTTTACACTTAATAGTTTTTACAAATTCCATCGGATATACAAGGAATATGAATAAAAACGTCATTATTTAGAAATATAAAAAAAATGATACCACTCGATCATATTTTATTTACAAATACTAATTTTAAAACCAGTGGGTTAAATTATTATGTGAATTCTTTTCTTTAGTAAATATTGTAAATAAAAATATATTTTTAACCAATACAAAGTTATTAGCTTACATTAAAATTAGGTATATTAATATGTGAATCAAATATGGTTGGAAACAATATCTTGCTTTCCCGACCTGTCGCTTTGGCATAATATGATAGATATTTTGCCATATTTTCACATAAATAATGTTTTTATAGTATTTAAAATCACATAGCTTCTTTTGTTTATGCTGTGCATCAAGTGTGCGGAGTTACCCTCTGTCCGGGGCTTTTTCCCCTAAATGACTAAGCAAACTTTCCCCTAAATGGCTGCAGGGGTGAATCCAGCATTTTTTGGAGTTTGAGAGTGCTAACTTCCAGACATGGAGCGAACTCCAAATATTTATAAGCTTATACTTTTGTCAAGTAAAGATGATTTGCAAAAAAAACAATGATTGAAGCCAAAAATTACGATGATTGGAACCAAAAAGCTCTCCCCTTTTTCCTTTTCCCAAACGTGAAAGCAAAAAGTTGATAAATTTTAAAAAGATATTAGTTAAGATATTATAGTATTCTCAACTAAGAGAATCATCTAAAACTTTAAGTTTCAGATTATAATCTTACAGCGTTTAAAAATGATGACCATATAAAAATGATGGCCATACAAAAATGTAGACCATATAAAAATGATGACCATATAAAATTTGTGATTTGCTCAAATTTTGAGGTTCAAGCTTTACATGGTCATCATTTTTTGCACGCTGAGAGATTACATCATGAAACTTAAAATTTATCGATGAATATAAATTTAGTTAAGATTAGTAAAAAAAAAATTTTGTTATTATTAGGGCAAGAGAGCAAACATATTGAGAAGGGGGATTGTTTCCAGACTCCATTCATGGCAAATTTTTGCAAAGCATTTTTATTTGAAATAATTACATAAACATTTGAAGTTTGCTCCATGTCTGAAAGTTAGCTATTTCAAACACCAAAAAATACTAGATACCCCCTAAATGGCCATTATAGTTTCAGCTTTTAATTAGGCGGATGGGAAGATTTTTCTTTTAGCTTTGGTTGCTGACCTTTTTACTTTGAGTTTTTTACTTTAAAGTTAGGTCAACTTTGTTACCAAAAGTGTTTTAAAAAAACTCACTAGAGTTTTTTAAACATTTTTCTTAATTAGAACTAGTTTTAGTAAACTGCACTTTTATTGTTAATACTTTAAAGAATGTTATATATAATATTAAAAAGTAAAGTAATATTAAATTTTTAAATAGCTTACCTTAATCAAAAGTTAGTATAAAAAAGACGCATACATTGAAAAACATACCTTTTAATTGTAGAGTTTGTGTACTTAAAATATTTTTCTTCTATAAAAGATTATAAACCTCATATTTGAACAAATGTAAGGTTGTAAAACATTTTGTTTTGGCTTATTTGATTTTTCATTAAAATTTTTCAGTTATGAAAAGTTATGCTTATTCAAAACTAAAAATTTCATTATCCGTTCAAATTGATTAAATTTATATAAATAAACAAAATACATACTCGCATACTCCATATAAAACGTTAGAAAGAAAACATAAATAATTACACAAATAATTATTTGTGACTGAGTTAAAATTAGCACGTGAGTATTTAGTTCCGTTTACGTTCAATGGCTGCTTTTTAATACAGCTACGTAACAATATTGATATAAATAAAACATTATTTGATCATTTAAATATATTTAAATATAAAAAATAATATTACAGTATATAGAAAAACTATAGCCTTACTATTTTATGATTTCATTTTAAAGAATTCATAAGTTTTGAGGAACTTAAATTACTTTTAAAAACAAAGTTTACATTAGAAAATTGAATAAATATTTCAGCAAACACACGACGTATAAAAGACGTTTAAAAGACGTCTAAAACAGGAAGACGTTTATAACTTTTAGACGCAAATATGTCAAAAACGTTTCTAGAGATCATATGTTTGAAGAAATAAAATAAGTTTAAAATTATTTATAGCAATATTTTGTTACAACGGTTTGTCAGCCGTTATATACGCCAAAACATGTGTTAAAACATATAAAAAAAAAAATTAAAAAGTATATATATATATATATATATATATATATATATATATATATATATATATATATATATATATATATACATATCTAAAAATGAAGGTGTTTTTATTTACCTTGTTATAAAAAATATTGGCTTCCTCTCTAGTTTTCTGCAACTTATGCAAATCAAGTAAATAAAATATTAAGAAACAACATCTTATTGTCGGCTTCAAGATTTTAAAAGCACTTGAAATTTCGGTAATTTTTTGTTATAAGATAATAAGGAAAATAAAAAGTTAAAATACTATAAGTTATAACAATGTTAAGTTTTCACCTGTATAAAAAAATGTTTTTGAACTGCCATCTTTAGTTTCGTTTTGCAGTTTTCCGCTTATTTCCTAAATAAATTGAACATAAAATTATTTTAAACAAATTTAGAGCAAATAAATATCTAAAATGTTTTGAAGAAAAATCCAAACTATTAATATTGTCTCAAAGCTGTAATATCTTTATAAATTATTACAAATATATTCATTATTGATATTTCATTTTGGTGTCGAAGGAACAAGAACTCAACCAATTACATTTTAAGAGCAATTTGTCTTTTTGCTTGTTTATTCCATTGAAAACATTTTAATAGATAATCTCTTATAAATTTTTAAAAACTTTGTGAATAATTTATAACAAAAGAAGGAAAAACACGCGTTTTCTCTAATTTAAGAAATTAAATGTAATTCCCTTTATCTTTATTTTTTTAATTTCTTCACCAAAATGATATATTATTTATATACTTTTTAAATAAATTTCTCGTTTCTTTTCACACTTATGTACATATTTAATGCCAAATTTATATGTAATAAATAAAGCATTTAAATCACAGGTAAAATTAAAATCACATGTATATAAAAATGGTAGTTTTGCATTTTTATTTAACCACTAATGTTGTTTTAATGTTTATTTAATTATTATTTATATTATTAGTTATAATTGTTAAAATAATTTTAATGAAACAAAAGCATAAGTATAACTAGTAATGATCCTGATTTTGATACGTTCTGTCCCGTCGGTAATGTTCAAAAAAGTTAATTACTTTCCAGCCATGTATGTATGTATGTATGTATGTATGTATGTATGTATGTATGTATGTATGTATGTATGTATGTATGTATGTATGTATGTATGTATGTATGTATGTGAGTAGATATGGATGAAAATTCTAGAATTGCAAATATTTCTAGATTTTTAAGGAAAGGAAAATTTAAATTTAGATAAGCAAAAATTATAGAAAAACTCATAAAATAAGTAAAGATTTTTTTATATAACATTTTTAGCTCTGTACAAAAGTTTCAAAATCTTTTATGCTACATTTATGCTACATTTTATTTTAAGTTAAAGTAGAAAGATTTATATTTTAAATTATTTATTGCCAATAATATAGTGTCACTTAATATCTTTTATGGAAAACATAAGAATATAATTTCAATAACAAAAATTATTCATACGTTTATTGTCATGTTCCTATTTTTGCTGGATAACCTACATATATAAGATGGATATAAAATTGATTTTAGAATTAAAAATAACTTGATAAGATTCATTCTAATGGCATTTGTAAATATGCTCAATAAAATTATTTTAACCAAAACCTGTTTTTTAACCAAAACCTGTTTTTTAATCAAAACCTGTTTTTTAACCAAAACCTGTTTTTTAACCAAAACCTGTTTTTTAACCAAAACCTGTTTTTTAACCAAAACCTGTTTTTTAACCAAAACCTGTTTTTTAACCAAACCTGTTTTTTAAACCAAAACCTGTTTTTTATGAATAATTATTTCAACAAGCTTGTTTTTAGTATTATATGACATTAAAGCTTTAACGTTTTATATATATTATAAAGTTTATTCACAAGCTGACCTCCCAAAAATATCCGTTTGGGACAGAAAAAAAAAATAATAAAATGCTTTATGAGAGAATTCAAAATTAATTTAAAACAGCTACTGAGATTATCTTGAAAATGGAACAGCTGTTACTAATATAAACGACTTTAAACGTGTTTAAGTTATTGAAGTCTAGTTTTCATATTTATGGTAATTGGAAACAAAAATGAAGCGTGTACTCTCCTTTCTTCGTTTTGACGACTTTTTGTCTACAAAATGTATCTGTTTCAACGATGTCATTATTATGTGCAATAACTGTTCAACTAAAAAGTTTCGATATATGTGCTGATTTCCGTATATGAAATTAAAATTTTTTTTATACTTAATATTAGAGATTTAATGACTAAAAACATTTTAACATCAAACTAATATTTCTTGATTTAATTAAAACAACAAAGAAATCGTCCTTGTATCTTCTGAAGCTGTTTTGAACGATGTCACATTCGATTTGATATTTAAAACTCAAAGGATATTTTTTTAAAAGTAATTTCTTCTCTAAGGTATCTTTAAGGTATCAACTTCTAAACAGACATAAAGTAGGAAGATGTTTTGGAGTGAAAATGCGCTGAAACATTGTTTTCAAACTTTTTTTTCAAAAGTTCAATTGATTTTAATCATTTATAATACGCATATTGCCATTTGTTTCATTGCCAATGCGTGTATTTTTTGACTCCTAGATTTCCGCAATTGCTATAGGCAAAAAACATAAGTTTTAGTGTTCAACAAAATAAAATGTTTCTCCAGAGGGGACAAGGCATGTTTTAGACGTCTAAAACACGCCTTTTGCTGATTGGGTAATTTAAAAAAAAAAAAGTTAATTTTACAAAAATAATAGTAAGAACCTTCTATTAAAGACTCTAAAATAGAAAATAATAGAAACAAATATAAATTGAAAAGCTTTATTAAGGACTCTGGTTGAACTCAAAAATAAGCTTTATTAAGGACTTTGGTTGAACTCATTATTAAGGATTCTGGTTGAACTCAAAAATAATTAAGCACACGTATAAGATTATCTGTGCAGTCAATCAAAGGATGTAAATCCACTGATAAATTGTTCCAAGCTTATTCCTTGCAGTTAATCAGAGTTTGAACAGAGTTTTAGTCTTATTGACAACAAGAACAAGACTCACTAAAAGTAAGTTTTATTCAAGTTGAATGGTCCAAATATTTGCACATAAAACTAGAGCAATGTGTCAGAACTTGGTCACGGCGACACCGCACAGCTGATGATAATAGAACTCAACGAGCTAAACATCAAACTGAAAAAGAATTTAAATTTTCCGATTATTTGTAAACGGTTGACTGCAATTTCTTAAATTTGTATTCTTGTATTTCGCTGTTAATTTAAAGATTGAGGCTATAATCAAGGCCGACGACACGGGTTTTGAAGTGGAGGGGATGGGTCACAATTGCCAATTCTTAAAAAAAGTCTTCTATATCTAGAATTTTCTTAAAAGAAAAAAAAAAAAAAGGTCCTTTAGAAAAAAAGTAGGATGGGGGGGGGGGGAAAGTACGTGCCCCCAGTCCCCTTCCGGTGTCGTCGGCTCTGATAATAGCAAGTTTTAATCTACATAAGAAAGTTAAATATAGATATGATGTATTATTTTAAAAACATCAAGAAATACAGCTTCTCTCAATACTAATAGTTTTATCATTTCATAAATTTTCGCTGGGTTGTAGATACCAGCATCATCAGTTTGCTAAAAATTACAATAATTTTTAACCATTATACTGCAGCTGTTTTTTAAAACGCCTTAAGATGCTTATAAAAAGAATTTATTTCCAATTATTTTTATTATTATTTCGAGAAAAACGCAGTTATTTCGATTATTATTTCGAGATAAACGCAATTAAAAAGAAAATTGTGAGGAGAAACTTTATTGAGGTAAGTGGTTAAATGGCTTCTAAAACATAGGCCATTAAACATATTGGACATTAAAATTAATTCCGCCGTTTCGCGCAGAGCACATGTTTTTGTATTGCTAGTGCCTCCCTAACTTTTTTTTCAAACTTTCTACTTTCTAACTTTAACGTTTTTTCCCAAATAATATCTTCTTTATAAAAGGTTTTATGAAATGCTAATGCCGATTAATAATGTTTCTTTTCGTCAATGCTCCTCTGATATTGACGAATCCGGGTGTTTATCTTCATTTTTATTTCACCTAAATGAACTTTGTAGCAGTTGCATTTTATTATATAGGTTCCACGTTGGCTGTTACTAGGTAATTTTGAATAGAGGTGTACCGGATAATTTTGCCGGATATGCCGGATAGTTTATTTGAATTAACCCTGAGATACCTTTTCTAAAGTTCTATAATTGTTTATGAAGAAAAAACTAGTCTTGCGACTTTTTTTTATACATAATTAACGCATATACCTGTGTTATACCAGCTTTTTTATTGATTTTATTTTTTAAAATCTTGAACACTATTTAATTTTTTTTTTTTTTTTTTTTTTTTTTTTTTTTTTTTTTTTTATAATTTAGCCGTACAAATATTTACAAGTTCCGTAATTTAAAATATTTAAAAATGGCAAGGACGAGAAGAAGACGGGGTTGTCTTATCACCAAGTCTCTTGTTTGTCTAGACATTTATATAAATACATGGTAACTAAAATGAAAATTAAAAATTAAGAAAAAAGCAAAATATTACAAAGAAGTTTATATAAAATGCCAAATATAATAGTTCAAAGTTTTGAAAGATATTTTTTCGATTTTATTTTTGAAAGAAAAATTTAAAAGTTCATTCAGAAAAACAAAAATATCAAAAAACTAAAAAACATGAAAAAAGTAAACGTAAAATTTAATTTACAATCTGTTCTTATAAAGTGTAATATATTAATTCCTCAAAAACAAATTACAAAATATTAATATAAAAAATTAAAACTCAAAAAAGATTACTTTTTTTATTTTTCCTCTCTCTCTCTTATTTAAGAAAACTAATAAATTTATTTAAACTAATGAAATCTAAAAATGCTAAAAATCTTTATAAGTACTTTTTTTATAATATAACAGACTGTAATACCTATAAAATTAAAGAATTTAGACCTTCCAGACAAATAAAGTATGCATTAGTAGATAGTTTTAAAATATAATATTTTTATAGATAGATTTAAAAATATCTGTTACCAAAATAATATATCTGTACCAAATAAATATATATCATCTTCTGATTTTTATGTATAAAATTAATAACAATTCAATACCAAATATCTTCAAACCATTATTTAATAAAATTCAACACAAATACGTAACTAAATATTCTAACAACAACTTTGTTCAACCCAAAACTATATACAACTCCACCAAGTTTTCAATAACTGTTAGAGGACCTAATGCATGGAATAAGATAATCAGTAATGATATTAAAACACTTAAAACTCTTGATCAGTTTAAACAAAAACTAAAACTATTACTTTTAAATAATGAACAAACAGATAAACAAAAACTAAAACTATTACTTTTAAATAATGAACAAACAGATAATTAATCTGTTTGTTTATTATTTAAAAGTAATAGTTTTAGTTTTTGTTTATCTGTTTGTTCATTATTTAAAAGTAATAGTTTTAGTTTTTGTTTAAACTGATCAAGAGTTTTAAGTGTTTTAATATCATTACTGATTATCTTATTCCATGCATTAGGTCCTCTAACAGTTATTGAAAACTTGGTGGAGTTGTATATAGTTTTGGGTTGAACAAAGTTGTTGTTAGAATATTTAGTTACGTATTTGTGTTGAATTTTATTAAATAATGGTTTGAAGATATTTGGTATTGAATTGTTATTAATTTTATACATAAAAATCAGAAGATGATATATATTTATTTGGTACACATTTAGTATTTTTAGATTGTTAAACAATGGTCTTGAATGTGAGAGGCGGTGTGCATTTGATAATAATGTAATTGCATATTTTTGTTTGCTAAATAGCTTTTTTATCTTTGTTTTATTGGTGCTACACCAAGCAATGTTTGCATAATTAAGATAAGAATGTATAAATGAGTAATATATGTATTTCAAGCAGGATTGATCTAAGAATGGTTTTGCTTTATAGAGTAATCCAATATTTTTAGAAATTTTATTTTCAATTATGTTTATGTGGTCTTTCCAATTTATGTTTTCATCTAGAATTACACCTAAAAATTTCATCGAACATTCTCTTTTTACGATGTAATCTCCAATAATAAGTTTTGGAAGTTCAAGAGGAATTTTTTCTTTTTTATGGAGGCGATGAAAAATAGTATATTTAGTTTTAGTTAAATTAATTGAAAGTTTGTTCATATTTAACCATTCGGTTAGTTTTAGGAGTTCAATGTTGACCGTTTTAAATAATGCTGTTATATCACTATGAGAATAAAATAAATTTGTGTCATCAGCAAATAAGATAGAATCTAGAATATTAGAGGCTTTGCTTAAATCATTAATATAAATTAAAAATAAGAGTGGTCCTAATAAATTTTTTTAATAAATAAGTGGTCCTAATAATAATTTAGAATGGAAAAACTTGTTTTTATTTCATAAACACTTATAGAAATTGAGAAAAGTTCACTATCCGGCATAGAAATTGAGAAAAGTTCACTATCCGGCATAGAAATTGAGAAAAGTTCACTATCCGGAATAGAAATTGAGAAAAGTTCACTATCCGGCATAGAAATTCACTATCCGGCATAGAAATTGAGAAAAGTTCACTATCCGGCATAGAAATTGAGAAAAGTTCACTATCCGGCATATGCGGCAAAAATATCGGTACACCTCTAGTTTTGATTTAATTTTTGATGACTTTTTATTTGGGTTTGATATAAGTCTTGCTTTGTATCCTGCTTTTCGGATTATTTTCCAAAGTTTTGATGAAAGGCCTGGGACCGTACCCGTGGCAAAGGCACGACAGGAAAATTGTTGCACTCTGATGAAATTGTGTTGTTATTCTGATTTTTTTTTTATGAAAGTGACGTGGAATACTCCTCAATTGCTTTTAATCGTTCACGTTTTCAATAAACATGTCAGTAAAAGCTTATTCCGTTTTAAAAGTAAGGTTTACTACAGGTTGAGTATGCTATGTGGAGAAATCCTTCAAATATAGCGTTTAAGATAATTGGATCGTGATTTAAATGCGGATTAATCTGAATGTTAGTGACTGCCTTTTATCCATATACTTTGTATTCATATTTTCCTATTGTATTATTTATAATGATTATATCAAGAAAGTTAAAAGTTTTTGACTCGTTTTCAATTTTAATTGTATAGTGTATAGCAGGATGTTGTTGATTTAAAATGTCTTGGAATTGTTTTGCTTGTTTTAATTTAGAAAATCTTGATTGACTATTGTCAAACTATCTTAAGAATGATTTTAGATTAAATGCAGGATATATGTCACTGCCATTTTTCCCAATGCCTTTTATTAACTCCTCGTTTTTGTTTGTTTGTCTGTTCACATCAAATCTTGCGATCATTTTTTGAGTCACTTCCTATATATATATATATATATATATATATATATATATATATATATATATATATATATATATATATATATATATATATATATATATATATATATATATATATATATATATATATATATATATATATATATATATATATATATATATATATATATATATATATATATATATATATATATATATATATATATATATATTATATATATATATATATATATATATATATATATATATATATATATATATGTGTGCCTGCAGATTTTTTCATGTTTTAGATATAATACTTTCACGCATTGTGTAAACTCTATGCTCGAGTATGCTTATCTTTATGTCAAATGACAATGCTTGGCAAAAAATTGCGGTGATGAGCCTGGGATCAAAAATACCATATAACATACTCTTTAAAACATAGTATAATAAAAACCGAACATAATATAACCAAAACATAATACTCTTATAACATAACCATACTAACATAACCCTCCTTCCCTCCCCTGTGATGGCAGTGAGTTATTAAAATTTCTAACTTCATTAACTTACATTTTCTACACAAAATTTAAATTTATCAACAGGTTTAAGTATGAAAAGTTATGACCATGCAAAATTTACTACCTTGAGGGTTTTAAAATTTTACATAATCATAACTTTTGGACGCCGTAAGTTTTCTTAGAATTTAGTATAAAATAATAAAATTGAAAATTTTATTTCTTTACCACCCTCACGTTTGGAAAAGAGGTTAAACGTTTTAAGGTATTTTTTTCTCAGGCCTCCATCACCGTAATTTTTGGAAAAGTGTTCTCATTTGGCATAGGTATGAACAAACGTTTGTCACTTTATTACCATTTAATTTATAATTTATTAGGAAAACATTAAATTTACATCAGCATTAGAAACACACTAGAAATTATAAAAAGATCCACATTTATTCATATTCAGTACGTTAAAATAAAATATTATAATAAATAAACTATATAATAATAAATAAACTATATAAATAAATTAGACATTTTTGTCTACCTTTTTGTCTGCCTTTTTTTTTTTTTTTTTTTTTTGTCTGCTTTAAATTGAGTATGTAGTTTAAATAAATTCTGACAAAAGATTTTTTTTTTCGACTTTTACAAATCAATTATCTTTAACCGAATTGGCATGTTCGAGTAAAAACCGTTTCCAGCGTATTAAAACCTCTGCTTACTAAACGAAATTTTTTTTAGCTGGTTTTTTGTTTTTTTAAATTATATTAGATTTATAAACCTATAAAACTACATTATTATTATTACTTTTTTTATATAGTTAATATAAAAAAATGACAAAAAATATCTTGCAAAACAAAATCTTACCATAATATTTTTTGACGATCCTCAACAATATCTTACAGTATGCAATTATCTTACTAAATATATAGGTCACCTTTTAATGTAGTTTTTACAAAAAAAATCATTTAATAAGTAGGATTAATAAAAAATATTTTGCATTTTAACAACGGTTTTCATCATTGCCTTAATTATAATTGAACTATTATTACAGGCTTAAAAAGGAACGCACAACTTGAAAAGTAAGCATTGGAAATGTTTTGACACTCCTATTAAGTAGGGTTTTCAAAATACGGTTATTTATGGAGGAGAGCTTTGTACAAAACATATTTTTAATTAAGATTTTCACCAAGCTCTCTTTGATTTAAAACCGGATTTTGACATCCTTTACTACTGTTAAGTTTAAATGGAATTTTTGCTTGGTGGTATTTTTTAATAAATAGGCTATCCTATTTGTTTATTAATTGTTTTTATTTATAGAATTTCAAGAAGGGGTATTTAATTATCTCGATTTTTAACTATTGCATTACCTGACAAAAAAATGAAGCTCATATGTGATATTGATGCTAATACCGTTTAAATGTATTAAATATTTTTTAGTTATTTACAAATATTTATATATTATATCTGTCAGTGTTTTACTAATTAAGTATCATAGACATACATTAACGTTTACGTCATTCCAAATATTTGTAGTATTCTATATCAAATTCTAACATGTTTTCTTGTCGGGTAGTTTATATTTATAGATAATTTGCAAAAAATCGATACACATATTACAATAAGCTGATATTTAAACTATCCTATTCTTACCATTTCGCTTAATTATAAAGACTCTATTTTAAATAACTTAAAATCTAAAAGTAAAACAACATTTTTAAAAATTTTTTATAGTTGCAGCAACAAAAAAATGAACAAATGAATCATACCATTTGAAAACGTTTTTCTAAAGTTCTGGATAAGTCAGTTTAAAAAATTATTCAACAGTATTATATCAATAAAATTGCAAATTACAATAATATTGGGTCTTGAATCAAGATTTTTCTCTTTTACTTACATTTGTTTCTGATAACTTTGTCCATAATAATATGTAGGTCCTCGAAGGTCCTCGAAGGTCCTCGAAGAGTTTAGTAGAAAACAAGTATTTTATATTAAAAAATAAAACTCAACATAGATGAATGATAATGAATAAAATTTTAAAAAGAAATATTAAATCAATTCATTTAATATAAATTTTTAAACATCATTTATCAATAGAGAATTTAGAAAATTTCTAAAAAAAAAATGAAAATTAAGTTTAAAAAAAAAATTACAACGAAAGTTAATCATTATAAAAAATATTAAAAAATATAAATAAATTTAAAAAAAAAAAACTTTTTTTATAATAACTTTCATTTAGATTAAACAAATTAATAATGTCAGAATTTTTTTAAAAATAATCTAAAAATATATATTACTCGGTGTAGTTAAGGCACTTTTAAAATATTAGAGCGTCTGTATGATATTTTGTTGACTACGATATTTTTCCATTAAATGGTCTGGTCTGTGAATTATGAAAAGACGAAAAAACTTAAAATGATAAATTTTGCGGCATCATAAAATATAAATGTTTGTAGCGAAAAAACCAAGACCGATGATTCTTTTTTTCATTTAAAAATCATCTTAAAATCACAATCGCTTGTCCAAATTTGAATAAGATTTTATATTAGTACGTTTTTTAGGTGAAATGAACATTATAGTTTAACAATATGATCGTTCTGATCGCTTATTGGCAATTTTTTATAATTATAAGCTCTTTTTTGGTCGGAATTGCAGTATTTTTTGTGAAAATTGATAGAAATATTGTGTTTTGACAACTATATATAGTTAATATACGTCAGAACCGATTAGAACTAGGATCAGTAGTAAATTAAGGAACTTTTTTAAAAGATTTTAACTAAATTCATGTTAATGCCGATGAGCGGAATTGATTTAAAGACTCCAAAATAGTGTTCTTTAGATACATTATTACGGGTTGTAAAAATATTTTGAAAGTTATATATAAAAAAGAAAAGTTTCTTTAAGTATTATAAAAACCTTAAGCAAAAAATATTATAACATTTAAAGATCTTGTTTGGGCATAATATGGTGACAATACCATGCTAATTCCAAATAAAAGTATTCAAATATTTTGTAAATCGCCTTAACTACACCGAGTAGGAAAGACTGGGGAAGATGGCAAATGAAGCAAAAAGGCTATTTCTATATCAATAAAATTTTTCTAAAAAAAAATAATTAATAGTAATAGTAATATTTATTGCTGTAACAATTACAATTTTTTTTTAATAAAATAAAGTATTTGAAAATACGATAAATAAATTTAAAAACACAAGTTATGAAAAATATTTATCTATTCGCGCTTCAAAAAAACATTCAACAATTTTGCCTCTACGATTTCAATTGGCGAAAAACTCCAATTATTACAAACTTGGTTCGTAAAGAAATTACATCTTAGTAAACATGATGCAACGTATTCAATTTCTAACCTGTATTTGTTTTCCCGAACCGAAAAAATCGGACCTTAACGAGTCAAGGATGATGCCAATTGTGGTTTTTTGTACCAACTTATTTGGTCAAGATTTTGCTAAATTTTGTATTTTTGTATCTCCTCTTGCCCTTCTTTTATCAAATGTTGTTAAATCAATTGCTTTTAGTGTTTTTTTATATAGAATCTTTTTAAGTTTTAGGACTAACTTCCCAGACAGCATACATTTGACAGACAAGCATACATTTGACCAACGTTGGGCCAATGCATGGTGATGGATTGGCCCAACGTTGAAATTTGATGTTGGCCCAAAGTAGGTTTGATCATTGGTTAGTCATTGGCCCAAAATTCTGTACAACATTAGCCCAATGTTGTATACAACGCTTACAAAATGTTAGCCCAATATTACATACAACGTTAGGCCAATGTTGTATACAAAGTTGTAAACAAAATTGGCCCAATATTGTATGTAAGTTTGGGTCAGTATTGCATAAAACTTTAGGCAAATGCTATTATAAATTAGCAATCTACTGAATTTCAAAAACAAATGTTGTATATCGGTCTAGCGTCTTATGCAACATTAGATTGCTGTTACAAATAGATGATATGCATCGCTACATTGAAATTTATAAAGAAAAAACAAAAATGTATGATACAAGTATAAAAATTTATTTACTTAATTTACATAGTTTCTCCGTTAAATATAGATATTGCAAACACCAAACATAAATCAAAAACTAACACATTGAGTTTTAAATAAAAAAGTTCCTTATAAAATTTAAGGAGTAGTTTCGTTATTGGCTGAGCTACTTGTTATTGAACCGTGTTTAGATGTTTGGTGTCCACGACTATCATCTTTTCTTCCACCACCTCAATCGCATGCCTGCATAAGCCATGCTTATTTGACTTAACAGCTTCTGCAAAAAAAATTAGTTGTTTGTTTAATTATGCACCAAAGAAACATAAAGCATTAAAAGTAATTGTGAAATGCAAAATTGAAACTGAAAAAATAAACTTTTCTAAACCACTTACCAATAACAACATATGCAATCAACATTTTTCCTATTCCGGTTTTTTGTCCTCTCTCTGCATAATTTAATTATACAGCTAGGCTAATTTTAAAAACTATTCTAAGTAAATATTATATATAATATCCTTTGTCTTTAACTCTAATTTGTCCCAAATAATTACCCTGCAAAAGTACACAGCCTGGCAATAATAAAAATTACTTTTGGTTAGACTTAAAGTCTAATTTATAAAAAACCTTTAAAGAGTATTTTGTTCAAACTATATAAACTGTACAAAGGTATCATATAAAATGCATAAATGGATCATAAAAAAATATTTACCATTTGCTAGTATTTTCATGACTTTTTTCTTCTTGAGTAATTTTAATTCTTCATTGCTTTTAATGGCAATGACACTCTTTCTGGCAAATCATTAATTAGCATATCTTTGTTACTCAAATTTTCATATAATTAAATTTGATGTGTTTTGTAATTCACCAAGTTGCACTTCAGTACTTGCCCATTGTGCCAATAATACCTGCATATCTTTAGGTAAAACTTTATCTTGAAACAATAAAGTTAATAGTACTCTTAAGAAATTATTCAACAAATTACATGTAATATTTAGAATTTATTAAAGTAAATTCAACATTTATTAATAAAGCAAATAAAATTAAAGACAGAGAGGCAAATTTTTGATGATAAAAATATAAACTTGCTAATGGATTCATAATATTTTTATGAACTATGGAATTTGCTGCTGTGCATTTAATTTCTGGCACTGACACAAAACAATTCTTGTTAACGTTTGAAATACAGATTGCACTGTAAAACAAAAAAATTCATTTTAAGACAATTTTTTTCCAACAGGGTTCGTGGCCAAATATTTACATAAAGTTCCCTGACTTTTTTGAAAAATCAGATGAATTTCCCTGACCATTTTTAACAATGGTTTTTACAAAATGCTTAAAATTAGTATCTACTGTAATGGAAATGCTAAAATTGTATCTTAGGGGTGGGAATTTTTTACATTTTTGTCTTAAAATTAATTTGCCCTATTACTTTCGGTGGAGAAATTTTATAAAAAGTATTTTAAAAATAATTTTAACCGTAACAGATTCAAAAACCATCTGCGCAAACCCATTTTTTCGAAATGATAAAATTTGTCAAAATCAAGTTATCAAATCAAGTTGCGACAGATTGAAAAGTCTTGTTTTTAAAAGGAATGACTTTTATAAACTAAAATATTAATTAAAAAAACAAAGTAACTTAGGGATGAAAATACCTTACAAACAGTGCTATGACTAGAGAGCCAGAGCCCCCTCCCTTTAACTTGTCATTAGGGTGTTAAAATCTTAAAAACCTTCCATTACTAGGTGTATTACTAAAAAAAAATTCTTATATTTGGAAAAGAACCCTTTAATTTGAAAAACGCCCCAAAATATGCAGGTCCTGCGAATTATCTACCGTGGTTAGCCTCCATGCTTACAAACAACCCATAAAAATTTATGTAACTTGGCGTAAAGATAATGTTGATAAAGAATCAAAATTTAAGTTCATAAAATGCTTTAGAATCAGATCGAGAACATGAAGTCGACAAGGATGGTACACTAAACCCGGAATAATTGTTGTCAAACGCTTAATTACCCCATTTTTAGAACCTGTATTTACTGCAGTAGTGTCACATATTACGACGGAAATTTTATTTAATAAATTAAATGCCAAAATACGTGTTATAAATAGAAACAGAGTTGCCTTTTTCTAATTTTTTCAAAGATATTACCAAACATTTAGAAACGCAAGTGCTATAATAATGTTGTTTGTCTATGCTCTTACCATCAAAATGTAAGCACCAAATTTCTTCAGAAGAGTCTATATAAGACCGAATCAAGCTTAATTCATGTACGAGTGTTGTAAATGCTTTTTAAACTGCCGATCTGCAAATTGATGTCTCACCAACGGAATTGAGTACAGCTTCTGAAATCTTTGCCGTACAACTTACTGGATATCATTTTCAGATAGCTACCATTTTACCGGTGATCTTTGCACGTTTTAATGGGATTGTATAATCATCACTTGTACTATTATCTTCTGAAATTTCACTACTAGAATTCTCTGTTTCATCAAACGATTGACTATAATTTGTTTTAATTTCTTTTCTTTTAGGTGGCAGGTCTTGCGGATGTGTTTTAATAGACTCTGTCACAATACTGCACTGACCTTTGCACCCATTGAAATATTTCTGAAGTTCATAAAAGAGTTTGTCTTTCAAATTTTGCATTTTTGGGCAATAAGTCAAATAATTTATCCCCGCTATTTATAATAATTGTCTTCTTATTTGTACTTTGTGAAGATTTGATAACAAATTTATAATTTTGAATAGCAGACTTTACTTGTTTTTGCACAGATTTTTCCGTAAAAGATGGTATCGTCATTTTATTCCATAATTGACAAACTTAGATTGAGATTTCTTTAATAACATCACTTGATCTTGCAATGTTACCCAATTCTAAAAAAAAATGATTTCTTCCTAATATCTGCTTTGTCTTACATAATTTTGAAAAATCTATCAGTGATTTCTCAATTAAAAAAAT